GATTTGAATGCCAGGCCCTCCAAAGATGGAGAAACCCCACTCTTCTTAGCTTTATCTAAAATAGCTACTAGAGGTCTTGAGACTCAAAGCAGTAACGTCTGTAGTGGAGTTTGAGGCTGCTGCTATAAGACACTTCTAGTAACATGAGCACCCTGGTGGAGTACAGCCTGCTATGGGGCCTAATTATGGTCTTATTAATGCTTTCTTTCATCACTGCTTTCCAGCCTTCAGATGGTGATTAGACCTATTTATAGGGGCAGAGTTCCTTAATGTTCATCACAGTGTACTTCTTGCCAATCAAATCAGTAGCATCTGCATCTTTGATTGCTGCTTAATAACACTGTAGAACATGGTTAATTAAAAAATATAAATAGACTTTTCATCCTCTTAACTTATCAAAGTGCTTCTCTCCTCCCTCTGCCTTGCTTCCCCGAAAAAAACCTGAAGTTGGTTTAACACAGGGACTGTGGTGAACCTCTCATCTCACTACTGGAAATACCAGTTAACTCTTGTGTGCTCTGCTGGAGGACTGAATTTCAACCCCTCCAGTGAATGTCAACACAGGGCAGAGCCATCGTTGGCTGCTCAGTAAAATGGGACTTATGTCCTGGCTCTTTTGCTACATTTACAGCCAGAGCATGAGCAACTTCTGGCTTTTGTTCCAGTTGTGTGTCTACATCTGTGCAAGTGCACATGCACACACTGCCTTGTCCCGTCCCTTAACGGGAGGAGCATGTGCAATGACATGTTTTGCCTTTCTGTGATTTCAAGTCTCTTCTTTGAGCTTTGCAGCTGGGAAACTCACAGGAGTGTGTTTTATTTGTGGAGGGCAAGCTGATATAGTTACCTTTTTTTATTATTATTCTTTCCTTGGAGGATCTGATTCTGATATTTTTCTGGGATAGTCTCTAGGCAAGCCTTTAGCGTAGCCAAGGAATGACTTGAATACACCAGCAGATTTGACCATGACATTTTGTGGAAGCCCATGCAGAAAGCAGAGGATGAGGACGATATAGTAGTCTGTTAAGTGCAGTACTACAGAGTACCATAGTTAAGTGCTCAGTAGTAGAACTTCAGAATGTGACACAACAGACATGGTAGCAGTTGGGAGTCTTTGGAGCTCTAAAAGCTACAGTCGGGTATTGTGAGCAGTGAGCTGATGTAGTACACTGGACTCGAGCAGAGGAAAGTGAGGATAACAAGAGGTCTGTTATTATCAGCCAGCATAGGAGAACATCTGTCCAAGTGAAAGTGGTAGGAAGTGTTATGTGTAAGAAGTTACAGTCAGTGAGGAATTTGGGATGACTTCTCACTTTCCTCTATCAAGGAGGCAGTGTTTTCTGATAAACTATGCCCAAAACCTGTCTCGACTCCATCGTCTGAGTGTGTTTAATCTTAACCAGCAGCTCACTTGTGCCTTGGTGTGTTCCCACTGAGGAACCATACTGGTGGCAGTGGTGTAGTGGTTCATGGTTGAGGGCTGTGCAGACTTGTGTTTTATTGCATGTTGCTGGTCTCTTTGTCCTTTCAGGTGTCTACAAGGCACTGATCTTTTATTAGGATCCTACAAAAGAGAGTCACAGAGCTACAGACAGCTGACACTTCTTTTTGGAGATGTTACTGCTTGTGGGAATTAAAGGCATCTAGTTCATGCTGCCTTTCCAGTGCAGGGACAGAAGCAGCAGCAAGTAATTGCTAAAGCAGCCTTTGTAGCTTTGAAGAATACACACTGATTTTGTTTTCAAAGTGTTTAATCCCTCTTCTCCCCTGAGCTCTACCTTTTTAGTCTCTTGAAGCACGTTAAGAAAGCAGGTATTGTTGATGGCTTGCCTTATTCTCCCTTTATTTTCATAATAAAGTACACATCTGGGAAATGCTTGTACATAGATTTAGAGCTTGCCTGTGTTGAGGGCAGCCAAACTGTTTTCTTAATATTGCGTTTGTTTATGTTCCTTTGAAAAAGTAAGGTATTTTAAGGTTGTGTGTGTTTTGTGGGTTTTTTTGTTTGTTTGTTTGTAGATAATCATCTCAGTGGTTGATCCTCCATAGTGCAGTATTTTCTAAAGAACTTTGGGAAATGGTGCTTCTTTTACAGACTCTCTTTGCTCTGTGAGAAGTTCTCTTGGGCTTAGCCTTAATATAAGAAGTTTTATTCTTGGATCCAGGGAGAGGTAACCCGAGAGGTGAGCAAAATAGGTGGAATATTACTCGACATATCTAGAGCAGTGAATTGTGTACTTTGTTTTCCAGGTTCACAGCTACAAATCCCTGCACAGCCATCAGAGTATTATATTTGTCTGGGATGATTCAGCAGTAACACCAGTTGTTGGTTCCAGATGCCTGAAAACCCTGGAGTGCTCAGCCTTTATCTATCCTGGTTTAAAGTCTTTTGGAAAGGCAAGACAGTCTGGTGGAGGCTGATTTTGCATTTCCCACTGCTGTTGTTTTGCTCAGTGTGAGTGTTGGAATCGAGAGGGAAAGAGCAGCTTTGAGAGGCACCAGCCCTGATAAGCTTTGCACTAGTTTGCCTAAGGTGAAAGGATAGACAGCTTAAAGGCAGAAGTGCAAACCTGAGCAGTTGGTAGCTCTAGTCAGAGCTTCCAAATCAGGATATAGCACTTGGAAGCAGGTGGTGCAGTGAGAAAACAACCTTTTTCTCTTTGTTTGCACTTTAATAAGGTAAATGAGGTTATTATATAACACCAGAGCACATTTGTCTTGATCATGGAAGTTGACATAGAAAAAATAATTGAATAGAGAAAGGATGGAGCCCCCAGATGCTGCAGCTTTTTTCCAGAGCCTCTTTGATCACCAAAAAAAAAAGCTCTGTACTGCTGTTTCTTCTGACCCATAGGTGGTCACAGCACTAATGATTAAATCTCTTGGGTGATCTGACATCTGCTCTTGTGAATCATACTCGCTTTGGGCACACGTGCCCCTCTCTCACTGTAGCATCTGAGTATTTCATGTCAGCCGCCATAATTCCAGCATTCTGGACTTCCTGCTGAAACATGCCAGCTCCCTCTGGAAGACTCTGGACCAATACTGGAACCAGTTTGTTTCTTTGCTGGAAGTCCCTTCCATATGTAAGATATGATCAGTTTGTTTGCATCCTTGCTGTGTATGTTACATGAAGGCTTCGACAGTGGACAGGGTGGGAGAGTTGAGATATATCTAATATGCGGCACTTTTTAAATTTTTTTTATATAGTGTCTTAATTCTGATAATGGAGCACGACAAGGAAATGTGCTGCTTCCTCCTCAGTGCACTGAAGGTTGAGGTAAAGGAAGAGTCAGTCTTGCTGAGTGACGTTCAGTCTTTGATTTCCTTCCTTACTTTGGTTGGGAATATTTTGAATTTTCCCTGTTAAAATACTCCTTGTTCCTGCAGTCTCTTTCTGTTACAGAAAGAATTCCACTTTTATTCTAAGCATATGGTCAGGTCCCTACTCAAACTGTTTGTAAAACTGTCTTGTTTCTCCAGTTTGGTCCTAAGAGGTAATAAATAGCAGCTGTAGTGTGGAATTTTGCCTGAGTTTAGTCATTCAGGTGTTGCTGTTTTTCCTCTTCTTGCTATAAATCTCCAACTTGTTTCCTTACACAGAAAGAATTATCTCTTGTATCTGTCTCTGACAGCAGTTACCAAAGAGTCTGCCACGTTTCTCCAGTGTATTTTTTTTTAGGAAAGGTGAGAATCTGGAGCTCAGCTGAGAGGCTGTGTTAAGAACCTGTGAAGCTGAAGTTTACTGTCAGATGAACTCTGACATTGTGAGCAGGAGCACACAGGGATTTTCCTGTTTTGCCCACTGCTGTGTGCTCCTCTCTTTGCAGGGGTAGCAGCGGGACCTGGAGGACAGTCTGTAGCTTCTGGTTGCAGGGAAAAAACAGTTTGGTAGTAGCTATGGATGTGCTGCTTCCAAGTGTGAGCATCTGTCAGTCAGCAGCTGAACTTGGCTTTAGAAAGGTCACTGGGAGAATTATGATTGGTGAGAGTCAGAAATCATGTATAATCTCATCTGGCCTCAAGAGGTGAAAAGCTTGGCCTTCTCAGGATTACCATTACACAGGGATGGTTTTGATAATGAAGCAAGTTTTAGAAGTCCCCTTTTTGCCCCTGCTTCCCACACTGCTTCACGACCGGGCAATTACAGCTGTTTATCCGGCTGCCATAAATTGGGTCAGTGAACTGATCCGAGCTAAAAATAGGCATCCTCAACATGAGCAGCATTTATGCAACAGAAGAGTTGTGACCAGTGGCAGGGAGGATCATAAACTCATTTTGCTGCTGGAGCCAGAGTCACGCATCACTGTGAGCTCGCTGTTTTATCTGCTCCCTTTGTTCTGCCTTGACAGTCAAATAGGAGATTCGAAAGGAAGAGGATTTGAGCTCAATTGTGGTCAGCAGATCAAAAAATGCCATCTCAAAATTAGCTGTACTCCTCTCTGATTAACTTGTATGCTTTACAGCTCTAAATAATAATTTCCTGTCTGCTGAGTAGGCCCAGTCAAGAAGACTAATCAGTGTGCAAACATTGCCGCTAAAGAGTGCGGATACAGAGTGGCTGCCAGTGATGCATGAAATGGAACGGAATAGGTCTAGGCTTCATGCAGCAGAGCCAGCTCTTCTGATGGCTAGGCTTGGTTTTGCAGATTTAACTGCAAAAAGGCTACTAGGTGTCCTTAAATCTCATGTGATTCATTATGAAACACCCAAAAAACCCTGCGTCCCAAAAAACCCCACCCTTAAAATAACAGCTACATCACGTTTACAGAAAGTCATTCCTTACTCTGCTGTGGTAGGATCAGGAGGGACAAATTTGGAGAGGGTGGATGGTGTTTTTTAAAGGTACAGGAATGGCTGCAGGCAAGTCTAATTGGTTCTCTTTTCATTTTGTGAAGCAAGATAGAGGCTTTAAAGAATGTGTGAAGACTCCTCTAATTTTCACATACTAAACTGATGTTTTATGTTGCAACTATCTCTTTGGGTTCCCGTTCTGTAGTATGGGCTGTGTTTCTGCGTTGTTCTCAGTGTCCTACTATACAGCCAGGAATACAGGTTGCATACAGCAGTGCTCTCTGGATTAGCTCCTGCAGAACTCCAGGTACCACGGAGGGAATGTGGTGTGTCCTGAGATATCCCTGTCTGTTTCTGATGCCTTGCTTTTTGATCCTTCTTTGTCCTCAGCTTAAGGAATATTTTCTTATACCGATGTACAGCACTCTGTGTTGAAACCCTGTAATGAGCACCTGTTATACTGTGGGGTTTTTACAGCCTGCATGAGAAGACACAGAAAAAACAAGTGTGAAGAGAGTTGTGTGGACCTCGCAGTAGAGTTTGGGTTAGCAAACTTATGGATACTCTGCTCTGTTCATTCTTTGGACTGTCCTAGAAGTAATGTATTTGTGAGTTTGCAATTTCTAATGTGCTTAGAGAAACTGAGTTTTTTCTCTTCACCCTCCTCCATGTCCTGAGAAAGTTTTTGTCATTTTTGTGAGTAAAAATCTGGGAGGCAGATTTTTTTGGGAGTTGTTGAGGGAGAGGTGAGCAAGGCTGTCAGGACAGAAACATGAGTGATGCATAGGCTTCTCTTGGCTGAGCTATAGAACAGTGGCTTGGGCCCAGCTGCATCTGAGAGCAGGTGTACTGCTCTGGTGCAAGGGTTGCACACAACTGAAACGTGTCAGTGACCATTTAGATTTTGTATCTAAAAGGTTCCTAAAATAACAACGCTTCTTTTAAGATAGGTACTAAGATAAAATCCAGCCACCAGAAGCAGCAAACAGCTCCTGGGAGTCTCAGAATGGAAGAACTCTCATTAGCCTACTTGGAGCAAGGGGGTGTGTGCATTAGCATGCCTTGTAATTTCATGGCTGCTCTTCCTGGAAGGAAGTGGTGGTTGTGTTTCATGGAGCAGAAGTGTAAGATGAAATACTGCACTCTGCCGATAAGGCTGAATGACCTGAGACATATCCACAGGGAATATGAGGATGGGAGGAGGGGACAGCAGTTTCTGATGAATCTTATTGCCACCCTGAACTGACTTTGCTTTGAAGTGTGGTCTTTGTTTTCAGCACAGTACTGAGCAGAGACTTGTTAAGTAGCATGCAAAAAATAAAATTAGGGTTCCCACGAGCATTCAGATAAGCAAGAGACTTCCACCTCACTGTGGCTGTCTTGAATTTATTAAAAATCCAGTATGACAACCTTACTACCTTGTGCTGTTCTCCACAGCTCACCAGTTCTGTTGCAAATGCTTTCCTAAAATAATTAGGGGAGCAGAAAGTGGAAGTCCCTGAATAAATGCTGTGATAAAATGCAAGTGTGTTTAATAATGATCTATTTGCTCTTTCCTTTAGGTACAATGGCTACAGTAGCCCAGAAGCACTTTTTGGAGGGGCAGACATACTCAGTCCCCCTAATCCAACCGGACTTACGCAGGGAGGAGGCTGTTCAGCAGGTGGCAGATGCACTTCAGTACCTGCAAAAGGTGTCTGGTGATATATTCAACAGGTAAAGTGCTCTCAGAGGGGATTGGGTGCCTTGAATTCAGCAATACAAAACAGTGCTGTGATAAGGTTGCAGCAGTGAAGGTTCATTGCAGTGGCAAGCAATGGAAGGTTAGAAAAGGGATAAAAAAGGACCAGATGCACTTCAATAAAAGTTTATTGGATTCAGGTCTGTCAAAGTGAGGCATAATGAAATGGCTGCAGTTAGCCAGAGCTTGTTGGTTATTAATTTTTTATTCAGTGGCAGAGTCCCACAAATTGTGTTATTGCTTCTGCTGCCATTATCCTGTATTCCTTCTTGCTCATGTTTTAAAGGAGAGGCTTTGTTATTTAGAGTATCTTGAAGATATGTCTTTTTGAGTCATTGTACTTGAAGCAGTGAAGTAGAAAATGTCTCTTTGTTCTGATCTCTGGGACTTACAAACTGTTCTCCTTTAGGCTTCTGGTATTTTGCACTTTTTGCGTGTCAGGAGGGCTGAGTGCATGAGAGTATTCTTCTCACCACAGTCTCATAATCCATCTAAATCCATTTCTTCAGGGGTTTGGCCCAGACTTGGCACCTCTTGCGTATGGTCATGTTTAGGGTTGGATCTATAAGACTGCCTACATAGCACATCAGAGAGATTCTTGTGTTTGCCTGCAAATGGTGGTGGATAGTTTGGTGCTTTTTTCCATCCAGTGCCATCTTTGATGTCTCAGTGCTCCAAGGTGATGTCATATTATTGGTAGGGGAACAGATCAGCCTTTGTCTTCTCAGTGCCTGATTAGCAAAAGCACTTGCTTTGTTTTCAGAGGGGATCACGACTACCTAGTTTGATTTATTTTTGTGTGAGCAGGACCATGACTTTCTGTCTTCTTTTGAGTTTTGGGGGTTTTCTTAAGGGTTGAGTGAAGTTCTTCAGTTTTTGATAGAGATGTTTTGAAGGGCAGCCTCTGGGGAAAGAGCAGTCACTGGGGCTGAGCTCAGGTCACTGAGGGAAATAAAGGCATTACGCTGGAATAGTTTTTGGGCAGGGACTTCTGGGCAAGGACTGTGTGTGGGATGGATTGGGCTGAGTACAAGGTGTCGTTCTTTTGTGCATGTCACAGTACGGGAATCCTTCATGATAGGAGGCTGAGAGAAGGCTTTCTAGAGCTGCCAGAAACATGTGGAAAGCACCTCTCAAACTTGGAGCTGGTTGGCAGTGCTGTCCCTCTCTGTGGGGCAAATAAAGCTGTTGATAAGACAGGCGTGGCTGTTTCTCTGTCTCCTTTATTTCCTTTTTTTTCTTCGCCACTGCTTTGTAATGCAGTACCCTGTAATTTCCCCAGGGAGATGAGCCTGCTGTTTTGTATGCAAGTCACTCCTGAGTCCTAACAGTGACTGTGATGCTGTTCCCTCATCCTTTGGTGCACTCATGACTTTTAATTACCAATTTTCTCCGACAACAGAGGAGGCTTCATTGGGTTCTTCGTTTGCTTTGCCTTTCCTCTGAGGTCTTGGCTCTCTGATCTAATTAATAACGATTTACTAATTATGTAGGCATCTGATTAAAAGTTCCATGACCTTGGTTGTTCCATGTCAATCAAGGGGCAAAGCTTTCAAGGTGAGAACTTTGCCACTTATTGAAGAGTGACCTTTTATCTTCCCTTTCCTGAGATAAGGCAGCTCTGTCTTCCATTTCCAGGAAGGGGCTACCTTCTCTGGGGAAGCTGACTGTTCTGATCTGCATAACAGCAGCTTGCAATGTTGGTGGAGAGGACACTTGTTCAGTGTGGCAGATTTGGCTGTGTGTGTCAAACTCATTCCTTCAGTGCTACAAAGGTGCAGATGTTCTGGAGTTGTTTTGAGGGAACAGTTGAATTGGTACAGTGCTTTCGAGAGTGGCAAGCCAATCTGTTTGTTGAAGGTGGAGTGAAAGAGTCTCTTACTCTCTATGGAAAGAGGGATCTTTACACAAATGGATCTTTTTATTATACATTTTAGCTGAATTAAGTTTCTGCTTTGAGTTGTTGCTGACATGACAGCTGAGTACGAGTTCTTAAAATGAACATGTCAAGGGAATACAAGAAAGATACTTTTGCATTTGGAGAATTAGGAGAAGAGATGAAGACCTTTCCTCCTCTTCCCCACAGGTTGGAGAACCTGGGAAATAACCCATGAGACAAGTTCTCACCAAGCTCTTCTTTCCAATCACTCTCAAATAAGCATACTTGCTGTTAAGTTCAATTGTAGTGAGGTACATGGAGGATGAGACGCTTTGCAGAGTTCATTAGTTTGAAGACAATCAAGGGTTGTGCAGGTGCAAGACCACAGCTAAACTATGGCTGAGACCCAGAGCTGACCCTTTGGGACCAGCCTTGGAGGGTAGGTCTAGCAACCTGGATGCAGTCTGGAATCACTAAGCAAGATCAGGATACATCAGCTTAGCATCCATCTCCATCGTATTTCTAACCCTCGGGAGCAGGGACCCACTTGATTCATTCAAAGATCTATTTGTGGAAAGATTCTTCCACACGGAGAACATCAAAGTACTACGTCCTGCAAAGGGAGAGTGTTGACATGGGCAGGCTCTTGGCTGCAGGGCAGTACAGGTTGATGTCTTAGGCCAGTACTGTCAACAGTCCCACCCTCTTAGGAAATGCTCTTGGTGCTGATATCAGTGAGGGGATAAAGAGGCTGCATGTCCTTTTCAGGGTTATGCTTTTGAGTAATGGAAGTTTTAACCTTGCATATGTTCACTGAATTCATGTAATTAATCTGCTGTGGAAGCTGCAGTAAGGATCAGATTCATTGCCTGTAGCTCCTGAGGTTTTAATACATATCATTACTGCTTAAAACATAAATATTCTAACATAGCCAATCTGGCATAATATCTACTTAAGTTTAACTCCTAGACTTTTAAGGAGGGTTTTAGATACAAGTCACAGGAGGCAGGATGACCAACTTAAACACTCAATTAACAGTAGCCTTTCATCTGTTTGATTTCTCATTACCAGCATTTTCTGAGTGAGAGCTTGTGCTAAAATTATGTGCTGTGGAATTTTTTACAGGAATGTTGTTGTGGTAAGTACTTGGAGATAGGTGATGGATTTAGCTTTCCTGAGATGCTCCCCTAGTTAGCTGGGCTTATCCTTTGGGATTTCTCAGTTTCTGTGGAGAGTTTGTATCATTGGGAAATGTTAATAATCTCTAATATGTCAGTTCATTATTCAAAGTGTACACTTTTGTGCTACAGATTTGTGGAAAATTGCCTTTGCCAGTTATCTCATGGAGTTCTACAGCAGTAGAAAGAAAAGTACTTGGGGTTGAAATGTTGTTATCAAGGTCCTGGTTTACTTTGCCTGTGATCCAACCACAAGTTGTCCAGTATACAAAATTTCTCATCCTTTTGTTTCTTTTTTTTTTTTCAGTTTACAGAAGAATTTTTGGGTTGCTCCTTTTAAAAATCCTTATTCAGTGTCTTTTATTTGTCTGGAATAATACTTTGCTAAAACAATGTGTCCTTCTGTTTTCTCCCCCAGTTGGATTCAGGTTAATTTGATATTAAATATTTGAAAAGGGCTTTAATATTAAACAAAGATTTACCTGAAAGCCACACTGCTGAAAACGGTAGCTGGAAAACAAAAGTACTGTGGAAGTGCTGTTAAGGGTGGAGAGGAAATCTGCTAAGTGTGTGATTTGGAAGGTAAGGAATAGCTGATGGGCAGCAGAGCCTTAAGGGATGTTTGGGAGAGGAGCAGAGCTCAGATGTGAGTAGTCCTGAAATTGAAAATACCAACAAAATCTTAATCATGAGGTGCATTTGGGTGTTCCCCTTGTTACTGCCGTTAGTCATGATGATCGATAATGGAAGTGGGGGAATGAAGATATCCCTGTAAATGTACTTGATTTAGGAGGTCTGTGGAATGGAAACTTGCCAAGGAGGGTCTTGCTGCAAGCTGTACTGTGTTGTTTGTTGTGCAGTGGGGCTCTGGGATGCAGTTTGGAGCTTGGGCACTTCACTGTATTTGTTCCTCTGTTGGCTGTAAGGATTGGATCTTACCAGGAGGAGAGCTGTCAAGAGGGCTCCAGTGATGGGTCACGTGCAGGGGAGATTACACCAGGAGGCTGGCTGTAGCACTGGGAATTAATTTTTCTCCAGTTAATTTGAGAGTGTTATGACTTTTGCTAAACCACAAGTTGCCTCATGGTATTTTGAAGTTGTCCCTGAAAGAGGATGCTAAGTCTAGGTTAGTTTCAGATACCTCTCTTGAGAAACTGTAGGAGCAGTCATTTGCTGCCAGGAAGATTAAGCAGAAACAGTGAGGTAAAGAGTGAGTGGATTGTCATGTAGACATGAGGAAATGGAGTACAGGGAAGACATTTTGCCTGCAGATAGTTGTTATTCTTGTAGAGGCATGTCCAAGTAATGTGGATTTATTTTTCTTTTAAGTGTAGCACACACTTGGTAAGAAACCATTCATTTGTTTTGGCTGTCATGATCCTCTGGAAGCCAAATTCGAAAGCTTGCAAAGATGTAGCTTCAGAGGGGTTCCCAGACTATAGGAGGAAGAATTTAGGAGGTGACAGGAGTGTCAAATCAGCTCGCCTGGAATGCTGGTGGCAGCTGGCACGGGCAAGCATCCCATGCCCTTACCAATAGGCAAAGGGAGACTAACTGTTCTGCAAGAGTCCAGGTCACAACTCTTTCTGGATGCTTCTAAAATCCCTAAGCTTAAAATCTTGTGGGATGTGAGGTCTCAGGCTCTATTCAGATGCCTTGACAGCCCATGGAGTGGGGCAGTGGGTGGGAAGGGGCACAGATAGAGCTGTCACAGCTTGAAATATAATGAGAATAGTAGCAAAGAGGAGAGTGAATGGCATTAAGTCATTAAAAGATTATTCCTTCAAAATTAAACAAACATGGTGGAGAATTAGCAAGACAGGATTCTTGCTTATCTCTGAAAGTGCTGAAAATCTGTCTTTTGGACTTCCAGAGATTAAATGTGTCTTTTGAAGGACAGGAACAGAATGCTAAACTT